ATAAAAAGTGCGTGACTAATTTATGTGATAAATTTTTTTTTAAACACACAAATTATGATTAAACTTTACGAGCCTACTGCGTTTAGTAGCCAAGGTCAATTTCCTCTTTCGTTTTATAGAAATATTTAATGTTACCATAAATAACGCAAAATTTGTGTGATCAAACTAGACGGTTCATAATTTTTATTTTACTCTCTTATAGCATGACTGCTTTAAATAATCGTTACTTATTTTTGCGTTTACAAGAATACTAAAAACATGAAGTTTTTCGTTATCCAACTTGGAGTTTAAAACGAAATAAACTACTAATGAGTTGATCACTTGAACACGCAAATCGAACTGTCGAGTAAATTGTAAAGAAATATACCCTAAGGTAAACATTATTTGTTTAAAAAATTAAATTAAAAATTGGAATTAATTACACTAAGTTATCACAACTTCCAATTACATTGTAATGTTTGTGTAAAATATCACAGAAATCCGTCACTAACCTAGTGATACAGTTATGCATCTGTGAAATTTGGTTACACAATCCCTCAAATTATAATAGTTTAAAAAAAAACTATTAAAATGTAAATGTTCTATTTTCAAAAATGCGGCTATATTTGGACTGAAGAGAGGAAGTTTTTTTTGGCATTTATACCTGTCGTTACTTTATACGCCTGTCAATTATTACTGTTAGGTTTTTTGATATGTGATATAAGTTAACGTCGTTCGAATATAAACATGTTTATTATTGATCAAATCAAGTTCTCCGATTTCTGACAAATATTGAAAGATTAATGAAGTTCGACTTTGCCCGCGGCATGTCGTCCACTGCGGGCATGTCGCTGTCGCCCGATCTTTAATATGAAATCAGTTTATTTGGACCATTGAGAATGTCATGTCGGCAATTCCAATTATGATCGACTGAATTTTTTATTTGTCTTTAAAATAATTTATTCATTCATATTAAATTCTGTTGAAACTTTTCGTAGATATTTAAGTAAATAAAAATATCATTATAGATGTAAATTACAAAATAGAGTGAACTGATAAAATCAATATTTTATGGTTATGAAATTTATGTTTAAATTGTCTATATCCTTGAAAAAGAATTCAAAGACATAAAACAGGTGTACCAAAAGATTTATAAAGATTAATTTTGAAAGAATTAAAATTTTAAAGAGCAACGCAAGCACAACAGTTTTAATTAACCTGCCAATTAACTTCATTGGCAAGTTTTTTCTTTAGATTGAAAATACTAATTTTCAATGCAAAGCATAAAATATAAGTAAAGCAACAAGCCAACAATAAAACAATAAATTTGAAATTTTGTAAAGCAAGATGTACACATATTTTAACATACATGAACCTAACAACCTTTAGACTAAATAATACTCTATTCACTGCGCCAGAAGATCCTATCAGAAAATTTATAGGTATATTATACTGGCACGAACATTGCTGAGTTTAGGTTTAAAAATTCGTGAAAAGACTTTAACAGAAACCTTGTTATTCGTTAAACTATATGTAGACCCAAAGGTCCATTAATTTCAGGATATACTTTTAGACTAGCTAGTCTCACAATCTATCTAGCAATCTCAGTAGTATCACCTGCGACTATGTCCGCGCGGAATTAAGAAAAAACTTTAGTTAGTAGCCTATGTGTTCTTCCAGACTGTGTTGCCTACCTTTACTCGACGGAGGCGAGGAAGCACAGAAAGAAAATATTTTTCCTTCCCATGCATCCTCTCATCCGGAAGGTTCACTTCCACTTCCCATCCTTGCCTTATTAGAAAAAGGATGGGAAGGGAAAGAGGACTAAATTAGGCCTCCGGGACGCACACTCATCAAACGAAACGCGGAATTGCTTCTACTTCACGCATGTCTTCTGTGTGGTCGTGGTATTTCACCGGGCGAGTCGGGCCAATTCGTGCGAAGATGTTAAAGCAAGCTCTGCCACTGTTAAAATTCGGTCATTAGACGTCGACCCAGGGTAGATATGGGAAACAAGAAAGTGATCATACGATTGAACAGTGAAGGCACAAAGATTATAATAAATTGACTTCACTAAATGTAGTGTAATTTAGATGTATGAATACCTGTCTTTTCAATTATAATTTTTTTTATAAATTTGAAAAATTAGTGAATACAAGTTTGTATTGACATGAAAAGCCAGCTAAGCTCTTAATAACGTAGAACAAAAACTTTACAGATTTCATCTTCGAAATTTAATAACATTTAACATTTGATTTAAGGCCTTAGCAAACTGTAAGTATCAACCTTAAACTCCGTTGTGGTTGACTTCTGAAACTTCGAGATCGTATTAATAGATATTTGCTTAGGACAAAACGATGACGTCAAATATTTGATTGAGGTAATGACTGAATGTTCTCTTCAAATACTCAAAGCGACTTATCTAGCTACTTCTCTTTCAAATTTGGTACAATTATATATCATTTCTGTGTAGATTATTTAATATCAAATTAATTAATTTTACATTCTATCTCAAAAGATTGAGACTTCACAACACCATGTCTACTAAAACTTGATAGGAAAGTTATGCTACATTTTGACTAAATATTACTAAAATTTCATCATTAAATGCTAGCTGTTCTTAAAATGCTATGGAATATCAGTTGTTTCATATAATTTTCTAAGTGCCATAGGTCAACGTATTTGCTGAATTTCCTTTCTTTTATGTTTACTTACTATTTTTTTTAATTTAATAGAGTATGATAATTTTTTTGAATACTTTACGCTTATTAAATTTTGCGTCATGTAAACCTTGATAGAAAATATAAGAACAAAACCATCGAAAACAAATATTTTTATATGGGGTGTATCGCAACGATACGAGCTCTTCAATGGCATACGAACGTTTCATCAACTGTGCCAAATATTTGTAGTCGCTCGGAAGAAACAACGTCGTGTCCTAAGTAAACATGTACCGAACACAACCCTCGCCGTCGCGGTCGACTATTGTTACACAGTAGATGTTTGTATGGCTGACATAAGAAGAGAAAACTCAACCTCGTCTACACATGTTTCGCTATCAACATTGACTACACACACTAGAATAGGGAGTCGAATAGGACAAAGCAAAAATTGATTTAAAAAAAAAACTTTTAAAAGATTATCAAGAATAAGGTTATTTTAACGTCGGTGGCTTAGGGGTCAAGCACTTGACTTGCAATCTGTAGGTCCTGGGTTCGAATCACGACATATACCAATTTTTTTTTACATATGTCCATTTATCTGACGCTCTTACGGTGAAGGTAAACATCGTGCAACCTGCACATATCTGGGAAGAAATTCAAAGATATGTGTGAAGTCAACTAACCCGCGCTTGGCCAGCGCGGTTGACTATGGCCTAGTCACCCCTAAGTTAGGGTAGGTTTCGAGCCCCTCGGTGGGGACGTATAGTGAGCTGATGATGAAATGATATTACAATACGAAAAAAGTAAAAGCCAATTAATGTTTTCAGCAAAATAAAATGTCACTTCGACGCTCCCAAAATTGTTATTAATTCCTTGACCGGTACAACGAAATGCTTTTATTTAAATTGGTGAATCTTTTAATAAAACCCATAATTCAATATCGCGATTCTTTTAATACAAGCTCGAAGCAATCAAATTATGGAAATGGTCGTAGTCTATCGGGGAATAAATTAACATATTTGTTTTGAAATTGCCGAGGAGTATTCAGATATCGTTCCAATTTTCTCCAGCAAGTTAGGTATTCTATTCAAATTAACGCAGACAATATTGAATACTGTAATCCGTCAATTGTCAGATAAACGAATGCATATGGATGAGAGACTACTGCCATTGCGCATGCGCTTCGGATTTACATACCTCTTATTTAAGATATAAACTTTTATTCGGTTATATCGTCGTCTTTTACGAGATATGAGAGGTCATATAAGATGTGATACGAAAAAAAAATCATAACTTTGAGTCTCTACTTGTTTTATACGAATATACAATACAGAATACAGAAAAGGTAGGTTTCTGAAATATGAAAACTAAGATATTGCGTCGTTAAAGATCCCTGTACCTTACTTGTTTTAAATTACCTTCATGAAAACAATAAATTATTCATCTTAAACACCTAAGTTTCCTAAAGAGTTGACTTGTGCACTTAAAGTTAAGTAAGCGACAAGATGGATCGAAATTCGAGTAACTTAGCCTTGCTTAGAACTTAGTCGATGTTTATAGTTGATGGTCGATAGTTCGTTTTGAAGTTCGCAAGAAACTAACGATCAACTAATTTGCGGGACCACCAATCTTTACCTTAACAAGTACGTCAAAGTTGTAAATCCGTTCGAAGTTTCTCGAAATTGATTGAACTTTGTGAAACTTATTTATTATTTCTGCTCGAATATTTGATTTTAGAGTTAAAAGTACATTTTCAAATAATTTACTTTTCTTCACTTATTACTACAGCATATTACATTGCCCTTCAATACTTTTTACTAAAATTTTCACAACATCGGAGGTGTTAAATTATTATATTAAAAAAAAAATTGTAAAATTAAAAAAATATATTTCATACTTTATAAAAATATAGCGGTTATCATGATTAAATTTCCTTAAATCAATAAATTAAGTTAAATTTTTAAACTAAAAACTTAAATAATCATCGTTAAGAAATTTAACCCTTTAATGCCAACTAATAACAGTATTGCGTCACCGAATATTCACAAAAATCATAAAAGTTAAAAATTAAAAAAGTTAAAAATAAATAAGTTAAAAAGAAAGATGTCTTTATACAACAAAGAACATAAACAAATATTATGAATAATCTAGATTAATAATTATAAACGTCTATGAGTAGACATTACCAATCATCTTATACTCACTTGTTTTGGTCTTGTTAAAACAAAAAAAAAACAATCGAGCGATATGCTTCTACAGTATGATAACAAAATAATTTCGATTAAACGGTGAAAAATTCAATTTATATCCGTAACGTTAGTTACAACAGCATGTATTACTATATAAGAATAAATAACCTTGAAGTAGCCACTGTTTATTTTGTGCAATGACGAAAACACTTGTAATTTTATCCCTGGCTATATTCATAACAACTATATGTAAAGGTACGACAATTCCATATTTAATCGTTTTATTTAATTACTCGATATTTAGTACTAGCTGTAGCCCGTGACTCCGTCCCCGCGACATTAAAAAAACTTGATTAGTAACCTAACTATGTTCAACATCTATGCCAAATTTCAGCGAGATCCATCCAAACATACTTTTTAATAATATTATAAATGCGAAAGATTAGACATACCTATAAATAGCAAATATCCATGGGTGTCGTTGATAACCTCGGTGTTCCCGCTGCTAGTTGCCTCCTTCACTTTAAAAAAAAAGTATGTTAAAAAGTAGGTAATTCTACCTACAAACTAGTATATTCATACTAGTTTGTATTACTTTAGTACTAAACCTGTTTAAAGATAAGAAAATGTGTTACTTATAAATACAGAATTCAATTATTGCGAACGTACCTATTTATCGGTATCGAAATGTAGAACGTAGTCGCAATGACGGTCTAATTGTTTTTTCGGCTGTTGTTGCGGGTATTTTTTGGCAAATTTGAAAATTGCAAGTTTCCTACTTGCACATCCCTTTCTTAACCTTTTTACGGCCACATGTTAATGTGAAATTTTTTACTTTTTGTTTTATTTTGTAGCTTACATAGCCAATGCTCAGAACGCTGATGTAGCCTTAGATAAAATTTGGCAAGGCAATGCGGAATTTACTAGAAATTTTTTAAATGCAAGTATTGTTATTTTTAGATTTCTAATTTACATTTTTTATTTATACAATAATTGATTTAGCGAAGTTTTGTTAACACAAAATTTATTTGTTTTTGTTGCAGTTGAAAACGCATGAAAATCCGCTACAAAGTTTCGTAGCATCGCCATTCTCTGTATTGTTTCCTTTAGCAGAACTAACACTTTATGCCTCTGGAACAGCATACGATCAACTTTCTAATATTTTGAATATCGATAATAGAAATGAGGTTAATTTATTTTTTTACATCAAATTATCGTTATTTGTATAACATGTAAACAATGCAATAAAAATGTTAATATTCTAGATACGACAAGGATTCAGAAATCTCTTGGATAACTTTGAATCGTCAAATAATGTTACAATTACTCTTGCTCAGAAAGTATTCGGCAGTCTAGTATTCCAATTTATCGAAGACTTTAAATATGATACTAAAGAATATTTTGATGCAGAAGCACAAAATTTAGATTTCAGTCAAAGCGAAGAAGCAGCAGGAATTATAAATGACTGGGTATGATCAAACTTTGTCACAAATAAAAAAAAATTAAAAAAACTTTGTTAAAATATGACAATCTATGTTTGCAGGTGAATACAAAAACAAGTGGAAAAATACCAGAACTTGTTAAATCCAATATGTTGAACAGCTTAACACAAATGGTTTTAGTTAATGCAATTTATTTCAAAGTAAGCATGTTTATAGAAACTACGAGATAAACATCTTGGTGTCCGACAAAATAATTTTCACTATTTACTTATAGGGTAATTGGCAAACTCCATTTGACCCAGTAGACACTAAACCAGACGACTTTTACGTGAGTAAAGATGAAAAAATAACAGTTAACATGATGTTTCAAGAAGGTTTATTTCATTATGCGGAGAATGATGCACTACAAATAAAGGTAAAAAGATTTTTTTTCACGAAAGGACAATATTTAAGTCATTTTCTTCTCATTCAAGAAACTTTTCAACAGTTTCATCAATTTTTTCTTTAGGGATTGGAACTAAAATATGAAGACGAAGATTACAGTCTTTTGATTGTCTTGCCAACGTCTGATGATGATTACAGTGTAGAAAGTTTAGTACAAAAGATGCAAGACTCCAATGTTTTTAATGGTATAATTAACGATTTATCACTCGAAGGTGTTCGAGTACATTTACCATCAATAGAAACTACCACAACAACTGATCTTAAACAAATACTACAAGGAGTAAGTATACTACTCTTACTTTAACACGTTCACCGCAACGACTCGCCTGGTAAGTTCACTTTCAGGAAAAAGAGTAGTCATGGAACGTTTCAACAAGGATTCCATAATACTAATATTATTAATGCAAATGTTTGAATGGATGTATGTTTGTTAGAAGGTATAGCCTGAACGACTGCATATATCTTCCTGAAATTTGGCATAGATATAGAACATTGCTTGGAAGAACGCCTAGACTACTAATTATGTTTGTTTTTAATCTGACAGCTAGCTAGACACCTTAGTTTAGATTATATCGGTAACACTTTGTTCATTTATAGGTTAATGTTACTGAAATTTTTAACCCTGATACAACTGACCTAAGTGGTGTACTTGAATATTTACAACCATTGTACGTTACTGTCGCTATTCAAAAGGCAGTATTAGTTATCAATGAGTTAGGTACAGAGGTATCAGTTGCAAATGGTACGTATAAATTAAAAAAATAACTTACGTAAAACAACAAGCAATAAATCTCCACGCATATTTACTCTTATATCATTTCATTTTTAACAGTGGTAGAGTCTGCCTTAACATCTTTGCACGAATTGGCCCGGCTCGCCCGGTGAAATACCACGACTACACAGAAGACAGGCGTAAAGTGGAAGCAATTCCGTGTTTCGTCTGATGAGTGTGCGTCCCGGAGGCCTAATTTAGTCCTCTTTCCCTTCCCATCCTTTTTCTTGTGAGGAAGGGTTGGGAAGTGGAAGTGGACTTTCCGGATGAGAGGATGCATGGAAGGAGAAAATATTTTCTTTCCGTGCATCCTCTCCTCCGTCGATTTAAGGCAGGCAACGCATATGCAATTGCGTATGTCTATGGGCAACGGTCACTTCGCTATTTCAGTGATTTCAGGTGGCCGCTCGCTCGTTTGCCACTTTATGATATAAAAAAAAATAAAAGAAATCCTAATTTTAAAACTTCTTTTTTTTTCAGCTGTAATAACAAGTCTGAGAATGGGTCCTGTTGGGGATATAGTTTTTAACGCCAACCGTCCATTTTTATATTATGTTCTATATAAAAGAAATGTAATGTTTTGTGGAACATATACTGGAAAATAACGTCTGGGGCGAGTACTAAGCTTACAAAATTTGAACTTCTTTTAAAGAAGATCCTGTTATTTTATATAATACTACTTTAAATTTGCATGAATTGTTTAATACGGTAAAGATATGGATTAAAAATGTTGTGTTGTTTGTCATTGATTATATTTTTTTCACAAGCAAAAAGGTGGCATACTTACTACTTACTCCGCTGGCGCATCGAACCAAAGTGGGTCTTGGTCTCCAACACAAGAGATCGCCAAAGTCGCCTGTCTTGCGCCTTCTCCTGCCAGTCCATCGCTTGTAGTTCCCGTAGATCCAGCTCTACGGCGTCTCGCCAACGGAAAAAAGGTGGCATAGAGGAATAATTTTTTAAAATTTTTATTCCGTCCATATCCCAATGTTCCTTCTCATTTCCAATCACTAAAAAAATTCTATTCTTCTAAAATTTGCTTTGATGGCCAGGCCAATTTTTACTTAATTATGAATCATTTTCTCGTCTAATTTATTCTGCAATAAATATAGTAAGAGTTATGTCATTTATTGATATCAACATATCAAAATAAGCGTAATAAAAATTGGATGTTATATTTTAATGTTTGTAATTCTAAAACACGTGTTTAAAAAAGTATTTCGTGGTTGACCATAAAATTGGTGTTTTTATAATCTATAAAATACAATAAAAAAGTGAATAACAAGTTGAATAATTTATCTGCGTTACACATTTTCATGGCTTTTATTGAACGAGAAATATGAAAACCGAGTTCGTAACGCCGTCTTTTGTTTAATTAGTTTAAAAAAAGAAGTGAAAGATAATATGTATTCGGAGACAATATTAAAAGACAATACACTACCGTCTGTTAAAATAACTAATAAAATAATTACTTTGCGACACACGATGTTATAACAGTTGCACGAAATGCTATATAAGTTGTAAAGACCTTGAAACAACAGCAGGTGATAATTGAATACAATGTTGAAAACACTCGTAATATTACTGCTCGCAGTTAATTTTTTAGCTGTATTATGTTCAGGTATGGAGATATAATATTGTAAAAACAAATTTAATTTATTACATACAAAACACATCGATATTTGTGGAATTATTTGATACGTGATTCATATTCATTTGATTTCATTTAATAAACCATAATAAATTCAGCATTGGTATTATATGCTCTGATGGTTTTTGATGTTGCTTTTAAAGAAACTTTGGTGCATTGGTGCATTTTCATTACATATCTACAAAGTATATTATTGTGGATGAGATTTTTTTCCAAAATTAAGAATATGTTTGACTCCGAAATAGAAGAACAAAATAAAATATAATAAAAACAAAGTAAGAGTCATATATATTATTTTCTCTGTGCTAAAGTCAAGTACCATAAATTAATTGTGTAAACATCATCAGTTCACTATACGTCCCCAGTTAAGGGCTCGGAGCCTACCTTTAGTTAGTTGACTAGGCCATAGTCAACCATATCAACCAATTGTGTAATGAACAAATAGTTTTAATATTATAAGATATGGTCGTATATTTGAATAGATGGCGCTTCTAACGTGTCCTCGAATTTTGCCACATTTTCGTCGTCTGCATCAAACTCATACTCACAAAGTTCCTCCTTCGTGTCGTCCGATACATACGGTGAAGGTATTTTTAATTTTATTTAAAGAGATTCAAATGTAATGGTAATCATAATGCAGACATTAGGGACACTTTGCTTCAAATCAATGAATGTGTTTTCACTGAATATATCTTTTAGATCATGTGGTTTGCCTTGTAATATCTCGTCTAGTACTTATATGTGTTATGATGAATGTCTTTGATTTTATTTATCTTACGTAAATCCAGGTGGCAATGTGAAAGTTCAAACTGTCATAGTGGAAGCTAAAGAACTACAGACATTTTTATTTTTAACACCCATAACGTTTGTGAAGTAATACTTCAGTATAATTGCATTTGCCTTAAGTTTTATTTATACGTACACATGGATCATTCATTAGTAAAGAACATATCAATTATCAGACAGTACTTAAAAATATTGTATAGCGAAGTGTTGAACTAGTGTGTTTTTGTGTAGACGCACCAGAATACGAGTGCGATGGACACCACGAATATTATGAAACTTGTGAATCATACACTGAAACTGCATATGATTCCTGTGTTGTAGGCTGTCGTTGTGAAAATGATTACGTACGCAATGACAAAGGCAAATGTGTTGCGAAAAGTAAATGTAAGTAATATTTTATAACACTCTAAGTTTATAGTACTCTAAGGATGGAAGGTTAATAAATCTATAATTGATTTCTGAGCGTGCAACTAGAGGTATAAAGAAATTATATTTTTCCAGTTTGCCGTCGCCAGTTTGAAACATTTTCTGATTGCGTTAATGGAGGATGCGACAGACGCAATTGCTCGGAACTTAAACGACCTGCCATTTGTATTGATGTTTTTAGAAATAGTTGCATTCAGGGATGCGTATGCAAGAAGGATTATTTACGAAACGTTCAAGGAAATTGTGTCCCTATTAACCATTGTCCGGAAAGAAAACGTAAGTACTCCATTTAAATTATTCAAACTTTTGTGAGACATTATACTAAGCTAAACAGTTACGTATATTCGTCCGGTGGCGGCACCGACTAGTTTCGACCCCATCGGGGGCCCTTCATCAGGATGAGTGGTACTGGTATTATTTCGCGGACCCGGGCCGTCGCTCACTGCTACTAGTCGGTACTGCACTGAAACTAGTCGTTGCTGCCACCGGACGAATATACGTGAGTGTTTAGCCGTTTTTATATCAGTTTACTCCATTTAAATAAGTTTTTTTTATCAATTTATAAGAAAAGAGTGGGAAAGAGAAGACTAGAACTTAGATTTCGGGACATATAATAAAGATTGTACCGGTCGGACGAGATATTCGTGCAGGAGATAAAACTGCTGGAAACTTTTCTAACTGCTGCATAATGTCATATTTGCTTGATTTTTTTTTTCTTTATTAACCTTGTGCTTTTATCTTGTGAGTGACATACATATTTAATCACAGATCCAAAATGTCGAGGCTTAAACGAATATTACGAAAATTGTGAATCTGCATCTGATTGTGAAACATGTGAAAAGGGTTGTCAATGTGTATTGGGTTACGTGAGGAACGAAGAAGGGAAATGTGAATTAGACAACGGACAGTTCAGTTAGTAAACTTAACTTTATAATAATATCTATGCATTTATTCATTAAGTTTTTAGTCACTTTTGTAAAGTCTTTGGTAGAAAATCCAAAAAAGGGCTTTTATCAGATAAATTTATGTTATTAAAGCGTAGTACAATTTATAGCCACAACCACTGAGACATCGACTACAACTACAACAGACGTTCCAACAACTACAGAACCTTCTGAAGTAGATGCAGATAAAGCTTTAGAGAAAATTTTGGATGCGAACGCCCGGTTTACACAAACATTTTTACAAGTGAGTAACAAAGTAGCAAATTATTAATAATTCATCATCATGAGCTCACTATACGTCCCCACCGAGAGGCTCAGAGCCTACCCTAAGTTAAGAGTGATTAGGCCATAGTCGCTAGCCAAGTGCGGGTTGATTGAGTAAGTTGGTTAAGTACTTAGTTTATAAAAAAATCTCGTGTCAAATTCAGATAAGATGATGAAGTATTGAAAGTGAGCAACAAATTGTGAGTTGCGGAAACCATAGATTTTATTATTATTACTACTGCTATGAAATATGATGTTTAAATAAGAATTTATTAATTTACAGTTCAAAACAAATGAAAATCCTAAAGAAAGTTTCATAGCATCACCATTTTCCGTGCTGATACCACTAGCAGAACTTGCATTATACACAATTGGGAAGTCATTTGCGCAAATAACAAATGTACTGAATGTCACTAATAAGGATGAGGTATTTGATAGTTCATTACAAAACATAATTGAAATTACTATTATAATCATTTCTTCCAAATTAATAGAATCTTTTTAACAGATTCGTCAAGGGATGAGAAGACTTTTGGATAATTTCAAATTACCTAAGAATGTAACATTGAATTTAGCCCAAAAAATATATGCCAATAAACAATTTGAATTGAGTGATGCATTCAAACGAGACACAGAAGTGTACTTTGATGCTAAAGCAGAAAATTTAGACTTCAGTCAGAGGGCGGCAGCAGCAAAAGCTATTAACGATTGGGTATGTACGACTTCAGAGACAACTGAGTCCAATTTTGAAAACAAAATCACCACTGAAACAAACAACGACCTCTAAAGTATTAATAATAAATTTCAGGTGAGTGCCCAAACAAATGGTCTAATACCAAATCTTGTCGACGAAAGTTTGTTGAGCGAATTGACACGATTGGTTTTGGTAAATGCTATTTACTTCAAGGTAAGTTAATAATGTGCACCAGTGGTCACCAACCTCTGATAGGGGATGGCACCTAAAAAAGTAATACTCTTAAAGAAAATTGATAAAAGTAAGTTTTTGTGGTTAGTTGTAATTTTATATTATTATTAAATTGCAGGGTAATTGGTTGAGACCTTTTGACCCGAAAATTACGCAAAAGAAAGATTTTTACATCGCAAAAGATAAAAATGTAACAGTCGACATGATGTATCAGAAGGGTTACTTTAGATATATGGAGAATCCCTCACTACAAATAAAGGTACGACTATTATTAATTACCTTCTTACTATCAAAGTAAATTGATAAATGATTTGACAAGTAACGTAAAACAAAACCCGTATTAATTTTTTGCAGGCATTAGAATTGTTATATAAAGATAGGAACTACAGTCTTTTATGTGTTTTACCAACATCGACGGATACTTACACTCTTGAAGGACTGGCAAAAAACCTTCAAGATCCTCAAACTTTTAAATCTATAGTCGATGGATTGCAAAACCAAGAAGTTAAAGTATATTTACCTCGAATACAAACATCAAGTACTACTGATCTAACCAAAGTATTTAAAGCTGTAAGTATTTCATATTACGAAAAATCCTTTTCTGACGCCAAAGTTAATTATCAACAAAACGAAAGTACTTGTAGGTATTGTCGAGATAAATGAAACGATAGCCTATATTATCAAGTATTATCAAGTAATGTATTCACAAAGAACTAAATTTCTAGGTAAATATCACAGAAATGCTGAACCCTAACAACACAGACTTGGTGGGAATATTAAAAGTTTTTCAACAACTCTATGTATCTGCAGCTATTCAAAAAGCAAAAGTGATCATCAATGAACTGGGTTCAGAAGCAGCCGCAGCAAATGGTATGTTTAATCATTGTAATTATAAAACTTTTACTAACACACTAGAGTCGCATAACGATTCATGAAACTCTCACTGAGGGACTCGATAAATGAACAATTAATAATCCTGAGTAAATGTGAAGTTATTGAAATCAAATTCGTCACCATATGCACTCATAAACCTTATCTAGACTCTATTATCTTTGGTAATGTTAGATAAAGAATACGTAGATAAAATATCATAGCATTCTGTTATTAGTTAAGAATTTGTATATTAAAGGAAGTTTGAAAGTAGTTTGAAAGGGCGCGCTTTCGTTACAACGTCAAATGTCAGAATGAGTAGTGAGGGGACATAAACGTCGACGTTTTCTTAAGGCTAGTGTTGCGCCAGTACACCGGCGCAATGTAGGATACTCTTCACTACAAAGGTAAAGGAAGACTAAAGAATGTATAGATGGATGTGAAAGAGGATAGACTCAGATATGACAGCAGAGATGTATGGAGGAATAGTACACACTGTGCTGACCCTCCATAGGGATAGAAGAAAGGTGCGTCCCGTTATTAGTTATGCGGCATTGGGCTAATAAAAGTTCGCATCAAGCAACTAAAATCTGTAGACTCGTATCAATTTTATGTTATTCCATTACAGTTATAACAGTCGGAGTTACTTCAGTAATGATAAATGAACCAAAAGTTTTTGAAGCGAATCGCCCTTATTATTATTTTATAATAAACCAGAAGAAGAATATTCTTTTCTGTGGTGCCTACAATGGGGCATAGATTTGTTGCATTGTCCACAATTCATATCTGATTTTGATTAAACGCTTTATTTTTGGAAAAACTTATTTCTTTACCATTATTCTAACCAATTATTACTAACCAATCTAAGTTTCAAACACTCAATATAAACTGCGTATATTATGGTTATTATTTAACTTAAAGTTATAAAATTAATAAAACTTGAAATTAATAATAATAAATTAATAACGTAATTTTAATAATAAAACATCTAATTTATCTTTGCAGCAGTAGTCGTCGGTACTAGAGCATTACCACTTCCAAAGCCAGAACCAAAAATTTTTGAAGCAAATCGTCCTTACATTTACTTTATAAAAGATCAGAAGAATATTTTATTCTGCGGTGGTTTTACTGGCACATAATATATTGTCTAATTCTTTAAATTGACATTAAATGGTATTAAAGAAAAAACATATATAACATTTTATTTGAACCGCGTAAATAAAATTACAAGAAACTTTATTGAGTCAAAATAATTTTCAAACGAAATACATACTATAAACACCTATCAAATAAATGCTTACATTGAGTTTACCGACAAGACGACGATCAAGCATTCAATGATAAAAACAAAGCGAAAACAAATGAATGAGCCGAGCCATTGATGTATAACATGTAATATAAACAAGAAACAAAGTGATTTACTCGGCAATCACCCTCCCCAATCAAAACATATTTAAATTGATAGCTCGAGTTTTTCAACCTTCCAGTGTAAACCATCCCAGTACTTCAGCACTAGTATGTTAATTAGCGTCCAAATTCATCATCATCAGCTCACTATACGTCCCCACCGAGGAGCTCCAAGCTCCTAACCTAACTCCTAACTAACCTACCCTAAGTTAGTGGTGACTAGGCCATAGTCAACCACGCTGGCCAAGTGCGGGCTGGTTGACTTCACACATATCTTTGAATTTCTTCGAAATTCTGCGCCTAAATTGTTAAAACCAAAAAGATTTTTAATGTCTTATTTAGTAATTAAACTTATTTTCTTTACAGCTGTAGTCATCACTGCTTTATCTGCTATGGTTGGCGAACCTAAAATTTTTGAAGCAAATCGTCCCTATTTTTATTTCATAAGATCTAATAAAAATATTATCTTCTGTGGGTCGTTTACTGGAACATGACATTGTTTCAAAGGAATTATAAGAATTTTATTTATATATCATATAATTATGCCTTGTAAAATTAATATCGAAGTTTATTTTAAAATAATATGTATAATATTTATTAATTTTTATTTACGTTCTAACTTTAAATTAAAGAATTTTCATAATATAACTTTCTCTGAATAATCATGATAATAAAATTCAAATTAGTTGATACTATAAAGCTTATGTTATTGAGTACGCTTTGTTTACCCTAATCCATTACTAATCAAATAATCTGTGACTCGTTGTAAATGATAGTGTGTTTAAGATTGATTAGTTTGACAAATGACGCCTATAAAGTATCGTATTAATTTTGTATGAGGATTAATGTTGTACTTCTTGGACGATTGTTATAGTGTCGGACCATACGCGAATAACTAAGAACTATCGAGAATCGGTCTTGTAATAAAATTGTAATAATATTATATTTTTTTATTTTTTGAATTTATTATTTATATTATTTGCTGTCTCGCGCTATTAATTAAAAAAACATTAAAAACATTTCTTTTTGTTTGTCAACATCTCTATTTTTGGTTTATTTTATTTCTTTATATATTTTTGAGGAATAATGCATTAAAAGAATAAATACGTTATATAATTTATTTCTTTATTATCTGTCATCAAGTTACAGATATTGGTGTATATTATTTTGTATTTAAGATTGTTAAATTTTATTTTACAGCAATAGTGGTCGGCGCAACAGCTGCACTAAATAATCAACCAAAAGTTTTTGAAGCTAACCGTCCCTATTACTATTTCATAAAAGATAAGGAAAATATTATTTTCTGCGGATCATTTACGGGGACATAGACAAGTTTATTTTGGGACGTTTCAAGAAAAATAGATATCATCTGAATATCTGAGTTATATTAAAAGTGTTTTAAAAGATAATTAAAAATTGCCTTTCTTAAAAAATATTACGTACTTAAAAACATTTTGAAAACTTATAAGAGTATCAAAAAAAACCTAACCTGTATAAAGGAAAGTACTGAAGGGAAATTTTGACTCTGAAAAGATTTTTATTTATATTGTTATATAATATATTTATTTATACTTTATTATATAAAAGGCGGACGTAATTGACCCAAAAAGAACTAAACAACATATTAATTAATTAAGGACTAGCTGTCGAACGCGTTTCAATCCGCGCGGAATTAAAAAAAATTAACTTGTTTTTCCAGACCATGTTCTTCATCTATACCAAATTTCATGGAGATTTTTCAGCCGTTCTGGTGATACCTTCATACATCCATCTATCCGTCCAAATATTCGCATTTATAATATTAGTAAGAAGTAAGATTTGTCGTCTTCAAAGGTTTATTTCACAAGATCCCCTTATTCCATTGTTCAGTGTCCTCACAAAGTTATGACGTTTCCTGAGAAATGCGTAATTAACAGTTGGGTACTTGGTTTTCCAATACTTGGAAATGTTTTTGATGAACAAAGCTCGTTCACGTTGAACTCACGGGCGCGCTACTTGGATCGCACGTGCTATTCCTTCGTGAGCACTTGCATATTATATCACATGCTTGATATTTCAAGATCGCACCTCCTCCCGCACCGCGTCTCAACGTGAACAAGTACAACGACACGTGTTAAAATTGAAAACTCCGTTTATTTATTACTACTAAAATAAATACAAATAAGACCATATTTCAAAAACTGTTTGTCTTCCAAATATAAGAAATTAGTATAGTAATTCCAAATCTTATATCTTTAAATGAGCAATTCTTGTACATTTATAATTGGAATCTCGGAATCGAATCCAACGATTTTCATAAAATTTAGTATATGGGATGTTTCGGGGGCGATAAATCGATCTAGGAATCATTTTTAAAAATGTCATTTTATTCTTGTTTTATCGATAATCAACTTAAACATAAACTTAACTTTTTCTATCGGTGAGATCGAAAAATATTATTTATATTTCATCATTTTATTAGTAATTCGTACTTAAATATAACTTCCACAAAGCACAATTTAAAAAAAATACGGTCATCCAGATTTTAATAATATAATAAGTGTATAGAAATTTTGTAATTGTTTATTTATAATTCCAGATTTTAGGCTAAGGCTTTGCTACCAAAAATTTATGATAATGCATAATCAATCTCCCAAAAGGATTGTACTTTAGTACTTCTATTTCGAACAATAAATATGAATATATAGTGGCAGACTTAGTATTGAGACGGGTGCTCCCAGGGGCAAAGCTTGTGATATTCTCAAGGAACTTTCCTCGTAAATTCTCGCCGTATATGATGTTTGTTTTGCATTATACAACACTTAGTTGGCTTTGTTCCACATGTTTGACAGGTAAGTCAAAATATATGACCCTTAGTGTCCTATTTAAAGTTTTACATTACTCAGACAATTTGATTAACAACTTAAATGCATTACTTAATTCAAAGATGCAGTTTAAGATCTGAGATCCAAACTACAAAGTTAAGTTAACAAATAATTTGTTGCAATTCAAAGCAAAGAACATCGTCGTTAATAAAACATAAAGGAAAGTAAAAAAAAAAACTTTCAAAAAGTTTGAGTCAACCAATCCGCACTGGACCAGCATGGTTGACTATAGCCAACCACGCCATAGGCGTGGGCCATAGTCTGTTTTCCTCTAATTTAGAGTAAGCTCCAAGCCCCTCCGTTGGATCATGTATAGTGAACTGATGATGACGATGGTGAAGGTAAATACAATTTAAAAGTAAACCTCATGTTAGCTTATTTTTATACTTTAACAGAATTTAAATAACCAAAATTTTGATTGGTATTATAGTTTCGCATGTTTTAGGCCATTTTGATATCTAAAGTCCAGATAAGATATTGTTTTCCGTAACGACTTCATAGAACGTTAAATCTGAAGTTAAAGCATCTTGGGCACGATATGCTTTCAATCGATAAAGCATTGGCCCATAACGTCGAAATTTACTGCGATATCTCACAAGATAGGAGATTTCGTTGCTTTGCTACTGACTACAGAACTTTGCAATCCATACTAATATTATTGAAAGGAAGGATATGTATTTGTTGGACTGAACTTAAGTTGGAATTCGTTCAATTTACCGATCGTGGGTCGGAATCAGATCTCTTTATAACATGCAAGACGAAATTGTTTATCTTTACAAATCAACAGACAGAGATAGTTAGTTAGTACCCGTGAATGGAATAATTTCCGTTTACTGACAATGGAGCAAATGTCAGTTTTGCTCGCGGGACGACTGTCTGTTACTCATCATGTGCAAGAACCCAAATCCAACCGATAATCCAAGTTGGCTTATTAGCGTTTAATAATGGTGTTACACACAGTGAGAACATTTTATTTAACACAGTTTAATTTCAAATCAGGTGGATAAAGCTTAAAAATATGTGCTTCTATTTCCGAGTACGACGAGCTTATCTCATCTCATACATTCTTAAGCAGATAAATGGAAGAGGACATAATATAAAGGTATTTAAGTTTCTTTAGTTTGTGTTTTACTATAGGATTGAGTGGACAGTGTTTTAATATTTGTTTCATGTTTTCAATCATCATCTACAATTAAATATTTATACAACTCTAAAGAAAATATTTTTAATTGGCATTCTAAGTAACAATATTAAGGAGATAGCTGATAGGAGATGCATTACCTTTATCATAGTTACAATATCCTATCGTATTGTTGTAACACGATATCAAAGATAAAGCTCACACGACGTTAAATTATTTTGGCTAACATAAGCAATTAAACATTTAAGAAATTGGTGTTACTAATATCAAAATCAAAATGTGACTACGACCTGTGTCATTTACACGGTCGAACTATTCCGCCCACTTATAATATCTTCATTTAGTTTCTATAATAAAATTTGTTGTATATCTCGGCAAAGAGATTCA